GGGCATATAAAATGGGCAACGTTTCCCTAAGCAGGAACGATATCACAATGAGAAAAACTGGTGTACTGTCCAAAGACAAGCCTTCTGTTCATGTAGGAGGGAAGTTCATCAGTTCCCTGACGTGGAAACCTGTGTCTTTTGCAGTACTGATACAGATAACACCACAACATGGCTATGTTTACGTTGATCTTGTTTTGCTCCACAATGGGGATGACAACGTGTCATTCTTACTCAGCCCAACAACATGTTCCAGCAAAAGAGGCTGATTAGTGTATTCTTCCGCACTTCTGCAAGGGAGGAAGAAAGGAGGTGAGTGTCTGTCCTCCTGTCTTTACCTCTGTTGTAGAGATACTCCAATCAAATGCAGAGCATTTAAGTCTGGTATTTCAGTAAAATCTGATATAATTTCTCTTCTGCTGCTGAACCGTGTGGCTACACACAGGCCTAATGATTCCAAATTTGCTGCTATGTAGAGTACTGTTTATTGATCAGGTAGCATGTGTGGGGTGCTAGAGCATGTTCTCTGTTTCTGTCTGACAAGAGTGAGTCATAGTCCCTGAGTCTTTTCTCCATAAACTGATGATACTTGAAAATTAAAACATTAATTTTTAAATGAGCCTGATCTTGAGAGGCATAGAGCTACCCATCCTGGTAGATCTGTATTTCCATATCTGATCATGCCTGATGACTTATATTTGGCATCATTAGTAACACATGATAAAAACACGTTTACAGCTCAGAGGTCTACATTTGGCTTTTTTCTTTGTCCATTATGCTCTTTACTAGCCTCCTCATCTATCTGATGGCTGACCAGTTATTCTCTATTCAAAAGAGGGATGGAAGAAGGAAAAATCTGGTGCCCAATCCTGAAAAATGCTATCTGCTCAGCTCTGAGGAAGCCCCTTGGATGCTAAAAAGGTGATATGGTAGTTATGAGAACAAAGAATTTCCATGGCACACTTTTCAATTCAATCTCAACGTTTGAAGAAGTCAGTTCATTAGTTTTACCAGAAATTATTATTCAGAACTAGATGATCGTCCCTTCCATCTCAAACCATTCTATGATTCTGTGACTTATTAAAAGTGATTAATAGGATAAAAATTAATAGGGTAAAATTAAAGTTCAGAATTCTGAGTATGTATTAGTGGACTTGTGTATGCCTTAAACGTATAGATGCTTTTGAAAATTTGATCTCTCAATACAACCTCTCTGATCCTCTGTCTTGCTTCTCTAGAATGTAAAGTTCTTCTAGAAGTAGAAGCCACTACTAGATATATTTTCATGGTGTACAAGAATACCAGACTTGATTTTTTTTTTCAGTTCTTGAATGCCTGTCATGTTGTTATACAGCAGTCTTTTGAACTGACCTTTTACAAGATCTCTGGGGTATGCAGCTTGGGCACCAAGTCCACGCAGAGCAAACTTGTTCTTGGATGCCCATAATCTCTGAAGCAGTTGTGCAGGCCTTCAACTGGAGCTAAATTGGCAGGGCTTCTGGGGCCAGTGCTAAAAGGAGACAAAAGCAACTCAGTCTGTCATGTAACAGTGGAATAACCTTAGGTAGTGCTGCGAGATAGCAGGTAGAGGACGTCTTTGTGCTGTGCTAATGCTGGGAAGTTAGCCTAGGAGTTAGGCATATAGCTCCTGAGAGCTTCTGGAAAGCAAGACGAGTGAGTTTGCTTTCTTACTTTTTTTTTTTTTTTTTTTTGTTAAAGTTGATTCTCTCTTCTACTTTATCCCCCTCCTTCCCCCTCTGCTCCCTAAGCCTGCTTTTGATTTGGTTTTATTGGCTAGTGAAAGGAATCATTTACTAGTCAAGGGCCAAGCAGTGACAAAGGAATGCAGGTAAATTAGTTTCAGTTCCTATTTCTCCCCGTCTTTCTCCTTTGGAATTTGAGCTGTAGAAAATAAAGTCTTTTCACCCATTTCCCCCCCCACCCCGGCCCCAAGCCTTCTTCTAAAAGGATTTCCCCCTCCCCTGTAAACCTCTTTCAAGAACTTCTTTTTTGTGTCTAAGAAAACCCCATTAAAGTACCTAAAATGTCAAGGTGTATGACACATTCAATGAAATCCGACTGAAATGCATTAAAAAAAAAGGCTTTTTGCATGCACATTAAAAATGCAGAAATTAACTGCAAGTGCCATAAAGCTTGTTTTAATGAATAACTATGTACATACTAGAAAGTTTTACATGGACATATATCATGCTTCAAATGCTAAAATATAGTTAAAGTTTAAACATTTTGCTGAAGAAAATATGCAAAAGAACTTGCAGAGAATCAACACGGAGAAAACCTGTGTGTTCAGTCTTTCATCACTCAGTATTATTGAATTATTAAGCACTAAACTAATAGTAGTAGCAGTCAAACTGTCCATTCCCTTTTTCTTTCGTTTTCTTTTTTATTTTTTTTTTTTGCTTTTTTCAATTCTTTCTTTTGGAAAACTGTGCTTTCTCTTAGACGAAATGCTTCAAGTGTACCCGAGTGTTTCTGAACAGTACTCTTATGCAAATATCATCAGAAACTCGGGGCCTTCTTTTGTGAATTGCATTGGTGCCCTTTGTATTTAAAGTAATCCAAAATGCTAACGATGTTAAGTAGTATAATGTGTTGCGTAGTATACATGACAGAAAATTGTCTGTTTTTCTTTGATAGCTATTCCTGTTATTTCCATATTTTTTATCATAGAAATAATAACGATTTATGTTTTTTTTAACCACGCAAAGAAGTTGCTTATTCAGACTTTGCCATCTTCATAATTAGATGCACTTTGTCTTTTCATGCACAACTCAAACCTGAAGTACTAAAGAACTCAGTTATGTCTAGATAACAGGAAGGTTTTGGACAGCAGCTGGAGGAAGCCAGGAAATGTAAGTTAAGGTTGGTATTCCCTAGTTACTCCACACAGTTTTAAGTCAGTTTTGTGGGAAGAAGCACAATGATGAGAGAAGTAAGAACACAGCATTAGTTCTAAGACTGTTTCCTGGGTTTTGTTGGCTTGTATCATAACCTTAATAAAAATCTTCATTTCCTCAAAGAGGGGGATTTTTCCAGAAAGTAGTAACACATACAAACATTTTTTACACATAAGACCAGAACACTGGCAATTGGGAAAATGAACCTGAACTTGAGAATAATTTCTTAGAAAAATCTCCTGTCAGCTCTCTTTAAGCTGCTTTGTAATTTCCCACCAGTATTTAAATGACTGGTAGCAATCAAAGAATTTCTTCTCCCGATGGCCCAGTATTTTCATTCAAATGCATGATAAAGGTCTTCTTTACAAATTATTTCCAGGGGTCGGCATTTCAGCCTGCTTTTGCTCTATTTAGAGCCCCTGGGGTCAGTTTCTTGTCTCACAGCAGATTTAGGAAGTAGGGAAACTTGCTCGAAAGCTGAGCAGTCCGATGGTCTGAGTGAGTGAATTTGATAAGAATAAGATCAGTTGTCTCCTTACCAGAGCAATGATTTGGTTAGAGCCAGATGCTGTTGTAATGATTTGGAAGAAGTGTGCAAGAAATTGGGATTTTACTTGTGCAAGAACTGAAGGGACAGGGTGCTTGTTCCTTGCTTAGTATGGAAGAATAATTTGGATAGTGTTCTCAAGACGGTGTTTGTGTATATATGTACTTAATGATTGTCAAACTGTAGTGGCTTTTATCTGACGTACTTGGTCCTTTCTACTGCATGATTTTGTCAACAGAATTTGAAACACTGTGACGTGCACACATTTATAACTTCACTTGCAAGACAGACATCCATTGATTGTATATTAAACCTTGTTTAAAGTCCTACAGACTATTGAAAAAGTGTTACTGTAAGTGTAAATTGATGTTTTGCATTGACCTTTCCTATGTAGCTTGTTGTACAATATTTGTATTTCCCATTCTGAGACATTATTATTATGCAGATACATTTTACACAGCATTTTGTTGAAATATGAAACAAACTTAAGAACATCACTTATTTAATGCACTTTTTTTTTTTTTTAAGGAAAAAAAGTATGCTCTAGAGGAAAAAACCTGCTAGAATTATCAAAATCACAGGAAAATATCCTACATTGTGACTGAACCTAGTATTCTCTTTACCATTGACAATGAATGTCTGTGTGCTGGTGGTTTAAAGAAAAAAATTACGTAGTCACACTTCTTGCTGAAGTGAACTTGTAGTATATACTTCCACAGGGAAAGAAAGAAATGGTTTGGGATGGGAGAGTTCACACAATATTAAGAAAAACACTGAAGGCAATAACTTTGAAATTATATAATGATAGTAAGTGTGGAATATGTTGGACCAAATTTGAAATTAGTTGTATGTCTTAAATTGTTGAAACATTATAATGAAGTCTTTCCATCTCTGTAGCAATTTTTGTCAAAGAAAAAAACAAAACAAAAAACAAATGGATCAAAAGTATCTTAATGTCTCAAAATATCATGATTAGTTTTGTCGTGCATCCACAGAGATACTTTCCATAGTGAATTGTGTGTTTTAATGAAGCAAAAAACTAGATCCATAATCTACCATGCTTTGGATAGTCTTAGTACACAAAAAGTAACTATTTTTCACCACTTTGAAACCAAACAAAAATAATTAATTTAATAATAAAGATAATTTGATCAGTATGTAATTACCAGCTTTCTAAAATTCGTACTGAGTAAAAACAAACACAAATATGACAGACTTTTATGTAATGTGAACTCTTTACCCGCTTGAGTTTATTGATACCACTAAAGGAAAGAGTTTAAAAAATTGTGGGAAGCCTATGATGATAATGGTTAAATTGTCAGGAAAAAAAAAAAATCAGTTTGTTCACGAAAACTTTAAACAAGTCTATGCAGTTCTCTGTGCGCTCGCACACCTGAGCAGTTCAGACCCATAGGAGGTAAGTCTTGCTGAAGTAGCCAAAGTCAGACCCCGACTAAAGTGGATTTAAAGTTGAATATTTTTCATTTTTTTAAAACTGTTTGAAATAACTAAGCAGTTATTCTCTACCCTCTTCCCAGTCCAGCTGTGAGCAGCAAAGATCCTGAGCGTTTGAAAATTTCCCTTCCGTTCTGTCTGGAGAGCTGCAAAAGAAAGGCAAGGTAAGGAGGGCGAGGCTGGGGAGGCAGCGCTGCCGCCTCTGGCCTCCAGGGGGCACTGTGACACCACGAACTCTCGCCAAACCTGGGACTGGTTTAAGGGCTCGTTTCAACGACAACAAAAAATCGAACTTTGAAATCCTTTTTGTCTTCAGATGTTCCAAACCAGTATTCCAGCAAAGGAAATGAAAAAGGGAAACTAAACGAGCTTTCCCCCTCCCGCCTCTCTCTGGTTTCTATTTGTAATACTTTATTTCTACAACAAGCTCAAACCACTAGAAAGGCAAAAAAAAAAAAAAACACAAAAAAAAACAAAATATGAATTTTTCCTTTTTCTTTTCACTGTAAACTCTGTAAAAACAATAAAAAAAATTCTGGTCTATATTAGATGGCCTGTTTCTTGTTTCTTCTTATTCCTCTTTTTTCTTTTTGTTATGCTCACTGAGCTGTTTGCATTTTAATTTTGGAGGAGGAGGGAAAAGAGGAAATAATCTTTTGTAGAAATACACAGTAATTACCAGTTGGACTAAAGTGGAGGCAGCAATTGATGGCATAAAATGGTTATGTTTTATGTCAAAATACTTCCAAATGGCAGAAAATTGTACTGGAGTTAGTAGTAAGAAGCTGCATAGATGAGAAATTATATCTTAGGAAGAAAAGTGTGTGTAACGTTCTAAAGAAAAATTAAATTCAATATCTGATAAAGATTTAATTTTTGGTCTCCATCAGACATCATAGTAGATTCTGAATACAAATAATAAGTGAAATAAAAGAACTATAGTTGATGGATACATTTAATTAGGGTTTATTTACCATGGGCTATATAAACACTTTTGTTTCTATAAGGGGAAGGATTTGTATCTGCAAGTTCTGCCTTGAACATTTCAAGTTAAAAACAAATGTTTTAAGAAAAGAAACTAACATAAAACAGCCCAGTGTTGGCTTTTGTGTCTTTGTAAATGTCTGTGGCTGTTTCTTCTTGTCTGAGGGAAAGAGCCATTCATTAAATTAAAAGTGAACCAGTTAAACTGGACCTTTCATTGAAGAAAGTCTCCCAGTGATCCGTGCTTTATTTGGTGGATTGTCTTACAACACAAATAAACCAAGTTTTTTTTTTTTTTTTATCTTGGGATCTAAAAATACTAGAAAGAAAGGAAATCCAAGCAGGGCAGAAAATACTAAGAAATAATCTCCTATTAAACAGACCCTTTGCCTCCATATATCTCAAATTGTGAACGTACACCAGAGAAACAGACTCGTATTCCTTTCTCAGGTTAAAAGCAAGTGACAGAGGAAATCGAATTCAAAAGTACCATCAATGTTTGCCGTGTTCAAAAATAGATAGAAATAAATATACACTAAAAATCCATGGTTACTGTCTGCTGGCAGCTAATTACTAAGTGCAGATGATACTGCTTCCTTCGAAAAAGAGTTGAAACCAGAGAATCCTATGTGTATGAGGATACTGAAAAATGCATGGATATTCAGGGCAGTTTCAAAATATTTTATTTTATTTTTTACAGACAAAATACTTCAGAATTTATTTAAATATCTTTTGGCTGATTTAAAACATTCACATTCTCTTTCTTTTCAAATATTGTGAAGAGCTTCACAAACATTGTGTGATAGACGGCAGCAAAGCAACCAGTGTACTTTGTAAGAACAATTACAGTAAAAGAAGCAAAACAGCTTGAAAAATATTTTTATCTTTTTATCTCCTGCAAAGTGTTTTTATTTATATTTTTATTTTTGTGAGACATTACACAGAATATTTCCAAGATTGAACTCTTTTTTTATCATTGTGTACTTAATGAAAAATAAGCAGAGTAGCAGCGTACTCTGACGTGCAGGACTAAAGGTTGGAAAAAAATGGAGTCTTACACACTGAAACTGTAAGAATGTGTAATATTGAATTTTGGAAGGCTGCTAGTGGCTTGGGATAATTTATATTTTTGAACAGTGAAACTCATGCTGTAAAGGATTCCAAAGATGCCCTGAATTGTCTCTTGATGATCATGCTGATGGTCACTAATTCCTTCTGCATGTCTTGTATAGGCACATACACTCATGTATATGTACATTCACAATTTTTATCTTCTGTGGGCTCTAAAAATAGTCTTGCCTTTTATCTTTGCCTGTCACTAATGTCCATACATAAATATAGCACATCCCATAAAATCTCTTCTGTGCCCACAATGAGCCTCTAATTAATACTGCATATAATTCCATAACATTTATTATTAATAAGTATTAATATAATTTTAAAAATCTAGAACCATTCTCAAGATTATGACTCTGACCTAACATGTCTAGGATGAAAAAGTGCACAGAGTGGATAGCTGCATTTCTTATTCTCTTGGCATAACAATCAAACAAAATTAAATGAAACCAAACAAATCAACACTAGGACATTTTAATAACCATATCACTTTCTGTGCATATGATTCTTTTTAGTGATACAGACATGCTTGCACTGATGGTGCAAAAACAAACAAAAACCTTTACTAATAAAATTACCATTGTTTGTAATGGTTCTAAGTTTAAAGAAGAAGATTTGGTATGTGTTCATCTGCGCTTGTGATAGAAAGTATGTGCAGGTTTAAACCCTTGTAGTTGCATGGACTGTTCTTCTAGGCAATGTGAAGGGGAACTGAGCAGGACAGAAAGGGCTGTCAGACAGCTAAGTGAGAGAGAGTGCAGTGGGCCTAAGAACGGTGGAAGTCTATCTGTGTGAGAAGTTAGTGATAAAAGCTCACAGGGAGAGGTGGGGAATAGAGAAAATCTCTGTTCCCTGTGGTATTCTCTGTCCTCATCTTCCTAGAAATCTACTGAAAGTCTGTGTGATGTTTAATGCTGGAAACAATAGTGGGAATTTTCTTGTATCAATAGGTCTTCTCAGAATGGAAGGAGTATGGAGCTCAGCAGATTTCTGCTCAGGACTGTCCAGCCACTGTGGGAGTCATTGCTTTCGTTCCTGAGAAAAAGGTACTGCAGCCACTCCGTGTAGACCAAGATCATGTAGGGTACCAGTCGCTTCTAAAGTGCAGCTACTTCTAGGGTAAAGCCTAGGAGTTAACATTGCACTGGAAGAATACAGAGCAGTTCAAAGTCTTATTTCTTAATCCTTTAAATTTTATGGGACTTGCAATGATTTTATGCTGTTTAATGCAATGAAGTGGGAAAAGATAATCTCTTCTAATAATCAGTTTGTAAAATCAGCTCATGCTGGTGACTTGAAAATTCTGGTCTAGTAGAAGTTGGAAGCTAAACTGCTCTTAGGCAGACCTGATTCAGAATAGTTTGTTTTTGTCTTAGACCGAACTAAAGTACTTTTCTGACTGCCATCCTGTCTTAGAAAAACAGATTTTCTGAAGGCTTCAATTCTCATCTAGGTAAATAAAGTAAGGATTCAGTGTATTTTCTCCACCCAGGATTCATCAGATGGGTTTAGTTCATTCAGAAAATCTATGTTGTAATCCCGCAACCTAAATATCAGCTAAGCCTTTCTGAAAATCTGGCCTTTTGTGCAAAATGGAGCAGAATGCAAACTTTTGACAAAAACCAAGGTTACGTGCAAGGGCCAGTAGGTCCTGGGTTGCAAAGTGCTGCTTTCATCAGTGGTGACCACTTAAGACTTGTAGCTGGGAGCTAGAACAGGTAAGTGTGGGCTACCGTATATGTGATTTGCCCAGAAGTTTTGTTTATAAGTAGAAAGGAACTCTGTGCTTTGCCTGTTTGCCCAGGATTTCCTGACATTCAGCAGCCTTGCCGGAATGCTACTTTTGCTGTGGTTGCTGAATGTCCATGGGCACCACAAACACAGCTGCTGTGTTGTACTGCAGGGTAGGATGTACCGCACTGGGTGATCTAAACAGACAGAGAATAAGCCTGACGCGTTCTCAGCACCCTAAGCTGACTGCACATGCTTGTAATCAATTGTGGAACACATTCAGATTCGTTGCAGTCTGCACGTAAGTGCATATTGCTGTCTAGGAGCCCTTTCTATCCACCAGACAGTGTTGTGAACAGCTTGCAGTGTTAGGAAGTGAAAATTTCCAAACGCTTTGTACACTTGAACTTCAGACAGTTTCCTCATACTAATTAAAGCTGGTGAGTGGGAGTGCACCAGTGCTCTTCTGGCATATGACTGGTTTCTAGCTGATACAGATTAGAAGGGTTTGGTGTAGCTTAATAATAGTTGTGCTTCGAAGAAATGTTTGGTTTATACAGTTAAAAAGGAAAAAATGTTTTGTGTTGTAAAGGCCTAAAGGGCATAATCTGTACTATGTGATCCATTTGCGTTACAAGCTACTACACTGAAGCACAAAACAGCCACTTGATTTCTTAAGCACCTGAAGAGGAAGAGAGGCAGGGGGCTCAAGGGTGGAGAAGAGGGGAGCAAACAAACCTTGGCTAAAGCTTTCACAACAGAAGTTTCATTGTTTTAATTTAGAAAAAGTCATATGTGTAAAAGTTGCATGTTTCCAGTGTTTCTATTAGCACATATAAATTGCAGTTGTTAGAAATATTGTTACAGATAGGAATGCATTTTCTGTAAGCTCTCAGAGAACAGTGCGGGAAGCAAAATAAGAAACAAAAACCTTTTTCCTGTTTTTTTTTTTTTTTTTTCTTTGCAAAGACAAGAGTCACCTAAAAATGAGGGGATTAACTATTATGAATCAATAGGAGGCACTTTTGAAAGAGGAAGCATTGCCATCCAGATTTGAGGGAAATGAAGCGTTTATTGGAACAAAAATACCCTCTTTGTTCAAATGTTACTTCATTGAATTGTGTATTCCCTTCTGAAGAGCATGGAAAGCAATTGAAGAAAATGTTTTATGCCACTCTTCCTTTCTTTTGCCACTCATGCCTTTTTCTTTGTCTTCCTGTTTCACCTTGTTTTCTGTGTGTCCATCGTTCTCATTAAATTACTAATCAATGCTTTTCTAATTAATGCCAGTTTAATTTAATGTTTAATGAAGCTGTGTCTGTGTGGGGTGTTTGATTTCTTTTTGTGATTCTGGCCTAACCATTGAGATTAGCAGCATCTGTACAAAGCTACAAAGTCCCTTGGGGCACTGAGCAACAGTTCAAACTCGTTTTCTTCTTACAAAATGAAAGTAACTAGCATGTAGGATTAGTAGAAAGTATCCTCTTCATAAAGTGACTGGGACTGTTTACCTTGCAGCTTTCTGAATCAGTTGGAATTTGTTCATTTTCTTGTAAATGATTAAAGGTGGTGGAGTTAGGTCCAACATTACTGTAATGTGGCTGCAAATTGAGCTGGAAAAACTGCTTGCAAACAAAATGATGTGATAAAGCTGGCAAATTTTGTCTGTAAATATTCCATAAGTGTTTTTACAAGCATACATGTCATTGGAAAATATTCAAAAAATGTTGCATATAAACGTATTTCAGCTTGTGGGTTGCTTACAAACAGTTTTCTGAGATGTTTTTTCCTTGACTACTCACAAATTTTTATGCCGTTGGTCTTATAGATCATGTGGTTTCATTTCTGTGTGTTGATTACATGTCTCACAGTGCCACAAGAGCCTTATCAGCAAGGCTACGTGTACACTGACAGAATAGACACTTATACAGAGGTGGAGGGGCATAACACTTCATAACATTTTCTTTACCTACAAACAAAATTTTTCTAGCATGTGTTTGCAGAGGATTGACCTAAAGGGTAGTCATTACTGCTGAACTGACTTTGTGGTTTGTTCTTCTCTGGGGATCGAGATATACCAGTGTTCCCAGAGAAGCACTGCTAATCTGAGTGGTCCTATGAACTGTTCAGCCTTTTTTTTTTCAGAAATTCTGGGAAGTGCAATCCTAGGACATACTTAGTAAAGCCTTGGAGCTCTCGTGTCTGTAGGCCTCAAGACAGCAGTGTTGTACAATATCTCCCCAAACAGCATGAAGCAACAGGCAACGGTGTATTTCCTGAGACTAGCAGGAGGGAGTGCACGAGTGGGGATTGACGAGACAGTCTTTGAATGTCAACATTGAGCCAATCGTTTGGCATTACCAGATCTGTTCAGAGAATTAGGGTTGTGGTGAATAGATGTCTAAACAACCCAGTAACTTCCTCTGAAGAGAACATCCAAGCAGTCCTATGATTGCTTAAAAAAAATAAAATAGGAAAAGGTGTTGGTGTTGTCTCATAAACACACACTTAGTGCTAGAGACAGTGTTTGTTATTTCCAATCAAATGATTACTTTACTGAGGATTATTTTTTTTCGAGTGGGATTGGAAAGACATGTCGCTTATGTGATGGATTCTATCCATCATAATCTAGCTTTTACTGACTCTGTGGCTCCTCCTGTCATGGTAATTAAGTTCAGCCTCTGCTGGCACCAGCATTGCAACGTTTAGATGAAGGTGGACCATTATTAAGGAGCATCATCATATTTTTCCTAAGAGACTATGCATTGAAGCAGAAAGCATTTAGGACACATTTTAGCTTATTTTGAGGTTTGTTTTTATTTCAGTAGAAAGATTTGCAACATGGTTATGTCTGTTTACGCAGTAATGTGCAGAAAGGAGGGTATAGATCAGAGTATTTAAGGGAAACTGAGAAAATGTGCGTACTTTGAGACCTGTACATGCTTCTTATATAGCCCTCACCCACTGCTTCATACAACCGCTGTTTACATTTGGAGCTAGTGGTTTCTTAAATGCTGAGAGCCCACAATTGAGCCCAGATTTCCAAAAGTGCTTGGCACCCAGCAGTTCTCACTGAGACATTTTTATGGCCAGATAATCAAAATTGCTCAGCATGGAAGAAGCTAGGGAAGTTAGAAAAGCTAGCCACTTACTTTAATTCCCAAATAGAGTCTGGGTTCCTCAGAAAAGCTGGTTCATTTATTACAGATCCAATCACTGTGTGCCTATCCTGTAAGTACATTTTTCTCTTATGGACATAGAGTCTATAATATATATCCTTCAAAAACTTTCCCACTTGTTCTTCCATATAAATTGTAATTACATTAGTTTCATTGAATTTGGAAAGCTGTTGGTACTATACGAAAGAATCAAAGTTCAAATGAAAATCAGATCCGGTAATTATAGGATTTTCTGCAAGCATTTTTCTTTTCAGGCTTGACTTGGAAATGAAATAAAGACAAGAGACACCCGTTTCCAGGTTAGGAAGCAAACAAAACCAAATTGTAAAGGGTGAGGGTTGCTTAGATGAACTGCTTCTTATAAAGCAGTTTGACAGCTGGAAAGAAAAACATTGAGGTAACTTGTAAAGTGAATAAGCTTTTAGCTGTTACTTTTGCAATTTCCCACTTAGCGTTGCCTGTCCTACTGAGCAGAGGGACTTGGTAGTACATAATATGCCAATAATAATAGTCAGCATTTACTTTGTACTATGAAGACATTAGCTAACTAGCCCAACACCCCTGCAAGGTGAGGAAATAGTATGATTGCCACCTTGCCTCTGGCGCAGCAAACACACCAGCAGAGGTTAAAGTCAAGGTTTGCCAAGAAAGTTGCTGGTTGCGTTATTCTTCCCTCATTTCTTATAGCAGCTGCAGAACCACCTCTTAGTGTCTCAAGATGCATGCTTCCTCTGTGCTCTTCCAAGGGTCTGATCCTTATCAACGAGCCCAGGAGAGGTGGATTGCTTGTAAATTTACGTCTGAAAGGATTTTACTTAGCTAATAGCAAGCAACACTGTGGCTAGCTTTAGGGAAGAGATGCATAAGAAGTGGCTTGCATGGTGTGGGTTGATGAATTTAAAAGGAGCTTGTGTTTTAATTGCTTTGGTACTTTTGAAAATGTATGCATAAGTCTTTTCTTCAAACAAAAGGAGCTTAAGCTTTTTTAGACAAAGAGGTCTCTGACTCTGACTTGAGGCGTTATGATACTAACTGGTTGCAAGTTCATTGTGTTGTTGGATCAGCTTCCTTGAACACTCTTGTTAGGGAACCTTTGCCAGAAATTGTATTTGAGGCAGGCTTAACATGGTGGTAAA